CGATTCCAGGGTGCACCGCAGCACAATTCGACTGTCCCAGGGTATTGGGTCAGCTCGAGCATTTTTGAGACTTCAAATTTGTCTTGCATTTTATAGTGCACCTTGTGAAAATGATAATATTTTAAAAGAACATCATCAAACAATTTCACATCTCAAAATTTATCCTAAAAATGGAAAAGGATGTTATGTTTAAAGATTTTTTTTGCAGCAGTATTTATGGTTCATTCACTTATGAAGGAAAATAAAAATCACTTCTTAAGTTATATAAATGTCTAATCACTATATTGTACACTTGAAACTAATATAATATTGTATGTCAACTCTAATTGAAAAACAAAAATTTATTTAATAAAAGAGGTAGCTAGGATTTACTCAGGTTCATGCTGAGCATGTTTATACATTTATGTAAATGGCATATTTGTATATGAGTATGCAATTGAAATAAAACTTAAAATATAAATGATAATAATAATAATAATAAACATCAGTGGTTCTGATCGGCAGCCCCCAAAAGTGGATGACTGGAATTTTGAAACTGTCCCTTCCTCATTGTGATTGGGGAGGACAGCTTATTAGGAGGTGAGCTGAAAATAGAACATGGTGATTGGGTGGCAAATCAGAAATGACCTCTGTACAGGGAGGCAGCTGCTTTCCGTGAGAAAGTTCGGGGACAGTCCTAGGGTCAAATGAAGCCCTGCCATTTGCTAGTCATGTGTCCTTAGGTTACTATATTATCTGAGTTGTCTGGGAAATGAGGCCAGTAACTCCCCGCCTCCCACAGGAGTTGAGAGAATAAATGAGATAGCCTTTGGAAAGTACCCAGAGCATACCTGAATTCCTGGCCCAACAAATAGTGGCACATATCAAGGTCTGACAATGAAGTTCTAGAACTTGTTGCAATGATGTTGCTAAACTTTTTTGATATCAGAGAGATTATTCATTATGAATTTGTACCAACTGGACAATTAACCAAGTTTACTATTTGGACGTGCTGAAAAGACTTCTTGAAAAATTTCGATGACCTGAACTTTTTGCCAACGATTCATGGCTCTTGCATCACAACAATGCACCAGCTCACACGACACTGTCTGTGAGGGAGCTTTGAGCCAGGAAACAAATATCTGTATTGGAACACCTTCCCTACTCACCTGTCCTGGCCCCCAGTGACTTCTTTCTTTAGTTGAAGATAAACGAAATATTGAAAGGAAGACATTTTGATGACTTTCAGGACATCAAGGGTAATATGACAGTAGCTCTAATGGCCATTCCAGAAAAAGAGTTCCAAAATTGCTTTGAAGGGTGGATTAGGTGCTGGCATTGGTGCATAGCTTCCCAAGGGGAGTACTTCAAAGGTGCCTGTAGTGATTCAGCAATGAGGTATGTAGCACTTTTTCTAGGATGAGTTCACGAACTTAATTGTCAGTCCTTTGTATCATCAGTGATATTATATCCTTTGGAAATATAGTAATGCTCAAATTAATACAAAAATGCTTCACTCTCTGAAATATTTGGGCCAGTTGTATTGACAGTACCATCAATACCAGTAAGTTCTCTGTATCGTTTTTTCCCCTCTGCATCTTAAAGTTTGACTTTGTACATTTGTTTTGTTTTATTGGTAGTAGTAGACTTCTTTTTAGAGAAGCTCTATGTTCGCAGCAAAATTGAGCAGAAATTAGTTTCCATATCGCCCCATCCCCCCATCACAAGCACAGTCCCCACTCCAGCCAATCAGTATCATGTTCTGTTTTGTTTGTTTTCCAGTGGAAAACCTGATTTCCAGTGGATAACATGGTAGAGAGTTAGAGTGTAGTTTCTTGTAAGCAAAGTGGCAGACCTGCCCTCAGATGCCAGGAGGTGGAAAGGAGACCCATCATTTGGTGGGCCCCTCCAGGTGCCCAAAGGTGCCTTAATACAAGGTGTCTGATTGACAGTGGGCACCCCTGCCTCATGCTGCCTTATACACAGGAACTAATGTGACTTTCAATAGCCATCACCCTTACATAAGAGAGCCTGGCAGATCTATTCATTTCTCGTCCCAGTCCAAGCATTGATATTGCAATTAGATGGCGCTTGCCTCGAAACAGGATCAATATGTAATATTGGAACATAGTCTTAGAAAAATGGTTTATGAACTTCTAAGTAGCATTGACTATTTCAGTGAGTTAAGTATGTCAGCTATGGACAGCTTATTTAGGTCTTGGTTTATCCACAAGTGTGCCTCTCTGTATTCCAATAACAGCCTCTGGCTGTCCTTTCCAAGATCATGATAAACCCTGCATATCACTGGATCATTCAAGTCACTCCTCAAAAGAGAGTTTGAGTCCATTGTAATTTGGAAATGTGTATTCTAACTCATCCACAAAGCTATGAAATACAGCATTAAATTTTTAATTGACATTTTCAAAAAAACACCCCACAGGCAAATAATTTTGTACAGATTTTGAAAAGACCAATAAATAGAAAGTTATTTTTAATGCTTCTCTGCATGTCAGGCTTCCCAGGCCCCTCAGAGAGTAGAAAAGTGTAAAACAGATTTGCTACTCTCCAATTTCCTACCACCTACAAAAATCACACAAGAAATCCAAATTCAATGTGGGCAAATCAGAAAATATGGATAGGAATTATACAGATGGAATCACACCAACCAAGGGAGAAACTATTTTGATTTATGGCCTACAAACTCTTATACGGAAATACACTTATGTAAGTGTGCGTGTATGTATGCATTCCTATACACAGATAATTTAACAAAAAAGAGGTTGTACACACTATTTTACAACACTTTTACTTAGCAATGTAGTGTAAATACCTTTCCTTGTCACTAAATATGGATTTATGTAATCCCTTTTAGCAGTATTTCATTGAATGATAAATCATAGTTTGTACAATCCATCCCCTGTGGTATATTTTGTTAGGTTTGATAATTTATGATAGTCAGCATTTTGGAAAGAATGTGCCTGGTACATATGTTTTTATGCACTTGTCTGATATTTCCACAAAATCAAGTATTAAAATGTACTTTAGAATCTTACAATCTGGTTGAAAAGACAAACACATACATGTAAAAAAGAATACAAGCTCATAAAGAGGGGTGTTGTCTAAATTATTGCTCCAGCCGAGTCAAAAGCCAGAGATACCATTTGATGCTTGGTTTGCTACATAAGGCTTCATGAAGGATGGTTTTTAAGTGATAGAAACTCATCTCAAATCAACTTACATGTAAAAGATGTATTATCAGCTCATGAAATTGTAAAATATACTTTGGTTTCAGACTGAGCTGGGTCCAGAGTTCACATGGGTCATTGGGCACGTGTGTGTGTGTGTGTGTGTGTGTGTGTGTGTACCTGTCCCCTCTCTTGGTTCTGCTTCTTACTGTGTGAGCTGCATCTCAAGCAAGCTCTCTCTATATGACAGCTGCCTCCAGCGGCTCCAGACTCGGGTTGTATTTATCTCACATAAGGAACAAATGCTTCTTCCTCAGCTTTGCCGTTGATCCCTACTTGGCCCCTTGCAGTCCTTTTGCCCACCCGCCACTGTGTGAAGGGAAGGAAGTGTTCTGGTGGCTAGGCAGAGTCATGTGCCTGCGCCCTGTGGTGAGGGAGGCGATAATGTGTGACTGAAGGCCCTTCCCGTGGAGCAGTTCTCAAAAAGAAAAGATCCTGGATGGTGAAAAATGAAAGAGATGATGAAAAAATAAAGGAAGATGCTGGAACTTAAAGGATGAGTGACCACATCCATTCGATGCTTTGGGATTCAAGTAACAGGGGAACTCCAAATCAAACTGGCCTGTTTGCCAATGTGTTATGCTATGAAATCCAGAGTCAGGGTGGACTCTAGCACCACATGATCAATGGCTCAGTGATATCATTAAGTTGACTGAGGGTCAACTTCATCTCAAATCAGATTTCTACCAATATCGTTGTCAAATGGCAATCAGAGCTTCCAGCCTCCTTGTTCATAGCCAGCACTTGAGGGTGAGAAACAGCTCCCTCTGGCAAGGACTGTAACACCTTTCCTGCCATCTGATTGGTTCAGCCTTCGTCATATGCCCACCCCTGGACAAATAGCCTTCCCTGGGGACTACTACACACCGATTGGCCAATCAGTATCTACTCCTGGAGGAAAGGATGAGGTCACCTTCTAAATGGGGTATGGTGGATGTATGAATGAAACTGAGGCCCCATTAGAAGGACTGGAGGATGGATGCTGGCTGGTCAGCCCACAATGGAATCCAAATAAGTTGTCATTAGTTAGAAAGGAAACATGGAGTTGAATAAGGTGAAGAGGTGATTTATGGTAAAAAGATAGAATTCCAGGGGATGTCTGGGTCATAGCTGACCAAAGATGTGGAAGCAAGAGTAGAGAGGCTATCCTACAGGGAAGAAGAGCCTAAACAAGCTCTTTTGGAAGTATTCATTTATTTCTTCATTGAACATATATTGAGCATCTATTATGCGCCAGGCTCTGTGCTGAGTGCTGGGGATAAATGAGATATAGTTTATCACTGCATGGACTTCTAGTGGGGAAAATAGACAGCATACAAATTAATTTCACACATAATGTGTCAAGAAAAACAAAGTAGGATGGGGGATAGGGAGAAATGGGAGGAAGGAGAGTCCAAGGCTTCTTGCTTAGGTTGATATTGAACGAGGGACCTTGAAGGACATGATAGAGTGAGCCAAGGTGACCTGGGGGGAGTTTGCCCCCAGCAGAGGAAACAGCAAGTGCAAAGGCAGGTGTCGATGGCATGTTTGAGGAATGAGGAGGTGGACAAGGGCGAGAGTGGTAGGCGATAAGGTCAGAGAGGAGGGGTAAGATCATGTAGGATCTCACAGGCATTGCAAAGACTTTGTTCTTACTCTGAGTAAGTTGTTTAATTCATGATGAGAGAGGGTGTTATCGAAACAGAGGGTGGCCAGACCCTCAGCCCATGGCTCTGCTCAGACTCTGAATTTAATCCCTTCTCCAATTTAATTCTTTCTCCTCTCTTTCTCTTCCAGGCCATGTACATGTTCTATGCGCTCGCCATTGTGTGTGATGACTTCTTCGTCCCCTCCTTGGAAAAGATCTGTGAGGTACGTGCTTTTATTCTCAGCATGTCTGAGCTGGGCACTGGTACTACTCCTCGAGGTCCTGGAGAGCCCTCCATGCAACCTGGGATGGGAACACCAGGCATCAGCATGCTTCAGACTGATGGGCAATATTAGCACAAAAGCTCCATCAGTCTGCTTAGAAGTTTGGAACACCCATCTGTAGTCAGGCCTAAGGCCAGTTCTCCCGGCTCCATTTGACCATAACTCATGGTGCTATTTGTGTTCTGCTTCCAGTTTTCTTTTCTTCTTTTAAATCCTGTTCGTTTCTCGCTACCACTTTCTCCATCTTCCTCTCCTCTGTTCCCTTCTGTTCCTGTAACCCTCCTTTGGTGATTTGTGGGCCCTGTATAGTGAGAAATCTTTGGCCACACACGTCCATTGCCCTTCCTCTCTGTATATGTACAGAAATGCTCCAAGCAGGGGCCTGAAAGGTGAGGAGATGAAAGGATTGGCCACAGAGACCAGGAAAGGGACTTTGTTCAAAATCAGCCTACTGATGCCAGGCTGAATACCAAATTAAATCCCTTTCATCAGAAAATATTCAGCAAATCTAGAACTCTTTCATTCTCTTGCTCTTTCCTGTCTTTGTTTATTTTGAAATGTAGTTTCATTTATCTGGAAGCTTTCCATTTTACTCTATTTTTAATTCAGAATCTATTTTCAGAAGGGGTCTCTCCCAGACGCACCTCCCATCTGGAATTCAGTTCCTTTATGTAGTTTTCAAACTTTATCATCCCTCTCCTTTCCCTCCATCCTTCCCCTGAGTGTCTGATTCATTACATCTTGGGGGCCAGCAAGGGACAGAAGTTGCCTTTGTACTAAGTTCCCAAGTGGTGCTGAAGCTGCTGGTCCGAAACCACACTTCGAGAACCACTAACTTAAGCAGTTTCTTCTATATCCTGGAAGACTGTTAGTTTTGTGTACTCAAAATATAACAGATTCGTTCCACAATAACCCTAGCGAGGCCCCGGGAGTGGGTTCCTTTATACAGTGAAAGTGAGGTAGCACCTGAGATGGACAGTGGGCAGGTGTGGAAGCCCTTCGTCCAAAGTGACTTAACCTGAGAACAGGTTAAGGGAGGAGGAAGCACTGACACCCCTGTCATTGGGGTCATTTGTGATATCTGAAATACCCGCACTTGGTGGTTTATTCTTCATGCAAAGCAGATTACTTTCTCTCTTTCCACACAATGCTTTTAAATAGCAAAGACCCTCTTCTAGAGTTCTACACACAGTTGTCACAATGTGTTCTGCCCAACAGAGGAAACCCGTGGAACCTACAAGCACACCCCCTTGGGGAGGAATCAAGATGAAACACAGCTTGGTCGTTGCCATCCACAGGCTATAGGGTGCAGAGCAGCTCCCAAGTGATACATGCAGGGGGCTGGATGAAGTGCCAGGAAATTGGGAAGTGCAGAGAGAGAAAAGGGGAGGGAGAGATTGATTCACTCAGGGAATCAGGAAAGAGCTAGTGCAGGGGCCGGGCTGGAGCAGCCCTTGGAGGGAGAGTCTCAGTGGCAATACGTTTCAAGGAAGGGTATTTGAGCAGAAGACTCTGATCCATAGACCCAAACAGCATAACCTGGGGCATTTGTGATTCTGGAGAATGCCGAATTGGGGCATGAGGAGTTACTATTCAGTGCTCAGGAGGGAGCTGGGAAGGTTTTTGATGGCTATGATCTGGTAGATGGAAGGAGTCCATATGCAGGAAGACCCCTCGCTGGTCTTCCCCTAACGACCCCTTGAGATGTTGCCAGAGCTGAAGTGAATTAGGGATGAAAGAGGAGGGAATGTAAGGAGCTATGGAGGAAGAAGCAAACTGATCAGCTGAAGGAGAGAAAGGAACTGGAGATGATCCTAAGGTGTGGACTTCACAACTAATGCCCCATCATGGAGCCCGAGTTGGAGAGGACATGGCAGTGCAAGGCTCACAGCTCATGGCAAGTGGCCCATCTTGGCAAACCACCAAAGAGTGTGAGCTCTGCCTTCCCACAGACTCCTGCCTGTGGTGAGACAGGATGCCAGGTTGCCCTCACAACCACAACTTTCAATTTGAGGTATCAGCACCTCCATCTTAGGGTCTCCTCAGAACCCCTTATGGAGTTTAGATGTTCAGTTGAGAGCAAAGGAACCCGAGGACTCCAGATTAAAATGCTCCATTGCAGCAGCCTATTGTTGGTCAGTGGAGCCAGTGGCCAACACCGAGGCCATGCTGCCCCTCCATGGCTGAACAAGGAAGTACAGCTGCTGGTGCCACCTGGAAGAGGGACAGTCATTCAAGACTTGCATCTCTTTGCTGGGACGTCAGGATGAACTGGTTATTTACTGACAGCCAGCAGCTAACTTTCTGAATCATGAGTGAATGCAGAAAAGCTAAACATACTAACCAGTCTCTAATACTGTATTTGTCTTGTCTTCTTGCAAATCATCTTTGGATTAACAATCAGCATAACCTGGAGAGTTTGTTGTACAGAATATCTTAGCAGGGCTGATTACGTTTCACTTTCTACTCACCCCCACTCTCCCTACCCCAGGGTTTCAAGCCTGCATTGAGGATGGGGATTAGGTTTCAGGAGGTTGACCCTCTCCAACCCTAAAAGCCTCCATAGCCTTTCAGAATCAAGGCTCAAAAGCTGGTTGCCATGAGCCTAATATAACCTGAAATCAGCATAGTATTGAAAAAAATCAGGATATTTTGCATAAAAATGTGGATTTTGTCTCTTAAAAATAAAGATATTTGGGCAGAAGGAAAGTAGACTTCGGGTGGTAGGCACACAATCAAGTATACAGATGTCATCTTATATATACCTAAAACTTATAAAATATTATTAACCAATGTCACCCAATAAAATTAATTAAAAATAAGGATATTTGGTAACTCAGAGGGAACTGAGTGGTGTTGAATTTGGAAAGTAAGCAAATGCCTACTATGCGTCACTGCCCACTCCACTCCTACCAGTTATCTGCAGGACCCCTGGGGGCATTTGGGTTGGGGACCCATAGATCTTGTCAAGAGCCTTTAATTCAGGTGGACATACAGCCCTGTCCTTGATCCTGCCCCTCAAGGAAGACAACGAGAGGAGTTGTGGCCCTGGGAAGGGGGTGGTTTGGGCAGCAGTGGCCAAGCTCTGAGAGGAGGAGGAGGAGGAAGAGGAGGAGGATGAGGAGGAGGAGGAAGGACTAAGCTTGGGACCTGGGAGTCAAAGGGTTCCCAGGGGAATTCCACTCACCTGTGCTTTGTCCTTGCTCCTCTGTAGCGCCTGCACCTCAGTGAAGATGTGGCTGGGGCCACGTTCATGGCAGCGGGCAGTTCGGCCCCAGAGCTGTTCACATCTGTCATAGGTAGGTGATGACCTGGGATCATCTCAGCCCTGCCCTTTCTCAAGGACAAGAGCTCTGTGGTTGTTGTTCATTATTATTTTATTAAAGTGATGCTTTCACTGTGCATGGATGTGTCCAAGACCCAATGCCAATGCTCCCATTGGACAGTGTCCCCAGTGCAGATTAGTAAGCTCTCTCCTATCCTTGACTGTTTCCTGTAGATCCTATGAACAGTTTAATGAACCCCCCACACCCACCTTGGAATGCAACTGGCCACAACAGCCAGGCTGATGTTAGGTTTGTGTTTCAGGAGTCTTTATCACCAAGGGCGACGTGGGAGTTGGCACCATCGTGGGTTCAGCGGTGTTCAATATCCTGTGCATCATCGGAGTCTGCGGGCTCTTCGCTGGGCAGGTAAGAGTGACAGCAGAACGTGGCACCTGGAGAGAGGTGGTGTGGAGGTGAGGCAGGGGCCAGTCTGGCAGGAGCAGAGCCAGCATGAAGGCCAGTGGTCTTGGGCAGCGATGATGTGGGATCTCATGCCCCAGGAGGCTGGCCCAACTGGACCTGGAAACTCTCAGGCACCTTTATTTGGTCTTCGTGTTGATATAGAGTGCCCAGGTCCATGTAAATAACTAACCAGCCTGAAGATTTGGGCCATGAATCAAGGTGTCACACTCATTTTGATACGTTACTGATCTGAACTGGAAGACCTAAAACAATTTTAGGTATGGTTTTGCATCAGTGGAAATAGAGTAAATTAAGAGAGTGGGCGAGTAGATAGGAAACAACACAGGTTTTTCATGCTAAAAACAATTTGCAGTTGTCACAGTTTAGGACCCCATCTTTCTTTATCTACAGTGATCAAGCATTTTATTTACTCATTCACTTTAGCTTACTTTTGGGGTCCTGAGGAGCTTTGCATATCTGTGGTTTAGCTATGGAGACTGTTCCACTGCCAGGGGGTATCATAGGGTCTCTGTGCTTTGTGAACTCTGGTGTGTGTTTTGGAAAGTCTTGGGAAGAAAACTGGAAGTCACCAAAATGTGGGGCTGCCAGGCATCCATGGCGTTGCAGTAACAACCGAAGGTTTGCGGCCATCCTGCTAACTCTCATGTCCTAGTATCTTTGTAGGAATTATATTCAGAAACATCATGATCTTGAGCTGTCTGCCCAAATACCCAGACTCTGAGTATCTTCTAGAAGCCCTTCAAGGGTGCTCCACTTGCAGTATTGAGGCTCCTGGTAGCCCTAACCTGCTCCCTCACTATGGAGGATACAGGGTCCTGAAAGAAGTGGCTGGTTGGCCTGAAGGGCTAAAGAAAACTGTGAACCTTCTCCCACACCCTTTTCTAGGCCCCTCCATCATTCGGTCAGTCAGCCTGGGCATCCAGTGCTGCTGTCTCTCTAACTCAGACTAGAGTGTCTGAAGCAGGATGCACTCTGCCACACTATTGCTGTTCTCCACGCCCTGTTTTTTACTGCCATCATCTTCTTGCCAATTTATTTGTCTGGGTAGCTTAGTGTGTTTGTTGCTTATGGGTGACAGGCAGAGGGACACATTGATGTCATCAGGAATTGGCTCCAGTGCCCACAAGTGGACGGTTGCGTCTGTCCACACATGGTTATTGAGGTTCTGCCCAACTTGCTAGTAGACTGAACATTTTTTTCTTTATCTTTTTGGTCAGTTATCTCTCATCTTAGATTTTGTGGTGTTTTTCAGATCTTCTATAAATGTTAGTGCAAAAAAAGTCTCCATCTTTGCCTTCACTGCAATTTGCACTCCCCTGGTTTTCGTCTGAGTTGGAGATGGGCAGTCATTTCCTGCAGAAGGGCCTGTAGCTGTTAGCACTCTCTTAATTAGCATTGCCACCATTTGCTTATGATTATTAGTCTGAATGTTATTAGTGTTGTCATTAGTTCATTAGTCATTTGTACCTGAAGCTTGATGCACAGGCAAGCCCAAAGAGGGAGAAATAATGGAAGGAAATGAAACAAATGACTGGGACGTGTCTGGTAAATGCCATGCAACTAATTACATATGAAGTGGCTTGAATACATTTGTGTTTCACAATTTATTAGCAATGCAGTTAATCACTGGCATGGTTAGAACACCTGCTTAAAAGGCAAATTGCTTCCTGAACTTTAGCAAGGCTGGTATCAGTCAATTTATTCCTCTTCAAGATCTTTGCCAAGCTCATCTCACAGCCCTGCTATGATCGTGGAGAGAAGTAGCAACCACAGTGATGTTAGAAGTAGCCCACGTGATGATTCTGGGTGCTAACCCTTCCTTTTCTTTCCTTGTCCTGTGCCCACTTGGAGAGTTCCAAAGCCACCCAGCTCTCTTCATCAGGACTTTGTAGAATCCTTGAAGTCTGCAAAATGATGTTTAGGAGAGAACATGGGCCCAGGAATCAGACTGACCTGAGTTTGAATACTGATTCTGCCATTTGCTGACTGTGGAGCCTTGGAGAAGTTATTTCACCTCATTTAGCCTTGGTTCTCTCATCTATAAAATGGATACAAGTGTACTCACCCCCTAGCATCACTATGGTGATGAAACACAATGTGTTCAGCAGTAAACAGCACCTGGTCCACACAGTAAATGCTCAACCAAAGTTAGACATCATTACTGGCTCTCAGAAGGATCCCGATCCCCGGGCTCTCGCTTCCAAATTCCACCCTGGTCACTGCAGTAATTTAACCAACGTGTTGGCTGAACTTATAACTAACCAGTGGAAATGCAGCAGGATGTCCAGTGGCAAAGAAAGGCAAGGTCTGGGAAAAGGTCTTCTAACTGAAAATCCAAATGAGGAGATGTTGATAGAAGCAAAATCTCAGAAGACTGGTTCTGGCCTCTGTGCTATCTGATCAATGGGAGGTAAAGAAAACTCGGTAATGCTTGCTGCCTGACACACTGAGCCACCCTCCTAGGCACTGGAGCTTGTGCAGCACCACATTCCAGCAAAGGATGGCTATTTGCAATTGAACTGATTAGTAAATCCAGTCATGGGTCTCATTTAGCATTGTTATTTATGTTGCTTCGTACTTTCATTTGGCTGCGAGAATCACTAGCGAGTGCCCATGGGCCTCTCTTTAATGTATTCCAGCATGAAGGGCTGCTTGTGACCAAGTCTGTTACCCATCTGAAATTAAAGTAATTAAGCCATAAGGTTTGAGTTCCTGTCTCAATTAGGGTTTTGATGAATTCAATGTAATTAAATGTCTGCTGTATTTGCAGTTTGCAAACATACCCGGTGCTTCGGTGTTCGCCTAAGGTGCTTTGGGGAGTTTTATGGGACAAGAAGGAAATTGCTTCTTAGAAAGTGGCTTATAGAGTGGTTCTTGGCATTCCTACAAGACATTTACAGGGCTGTGGGCCTGCAAGTTTTCTTTATTTAAAAACAAAAATATAGTAACAACAAAGAGAGAACACCAATTTATGCCAATTTTGTAAAACAATGTACTTATGAATTTAAATCCATCACCCAGAGCATGTTAAGCTTTAAAGACATAACCACAAACAGAGAGTAAACAGTTTAACTGCATCCCAGATTAGGACTTTCCTATTGCAGTTATTACAGGCCGGCAGATGGCTCCAGTTTATAGTAAAGAGCTTCAGCATCAGCTCTCCTGGCATCCTCCAAATGTTCATTGGCGCGGTCCATCTAATCTTGGCTGGGTTTGCCCTTCTGTCCATGCTGGCCCCTTTACACAAACTCGAGCCTCACTCAGAGGTTGCACATCTGAATTGAAACCTGCCTTCAATTGGGTTTCCCCAGAAGGAGAATCTAAGCAACGATTCCAAGTTCAAGTAGTTTATCTAAAAGGTGATCCCCGGACATGACAGCCAGGAAGTGGGGAAGTGAGACAAGGTAGAGAAAGCAGCCAAGGAAAGTGTGTTAGAAAGCAAGCTACCAGTGTGAGCACTGAGATTCATTTCTGGGAAACTCGGAGACAGTGTAGAACATGGACCTCTAAGTTATCTCACTCAAGGGGAGGGGAGCTGGGGTATTTATCCATCAACATCCAGCAATCATTATGTAAGGACTACTCCTGAGAAACATTAAGTCCCTGACATTCCAGCTAACTGAGCACAGATAGAGTGAACTTTGGGGCCCAGAGAAACCCCCCAGGCGAAGGGACAAAGGGGCTGGCCATCAGAAGGACCTGAAATGGTAACGGTGAGGAGATATGAGTGCGGACCATAAAGCATTTGCTATAAACTCAAGACTGAACCTTTAAAAATAAGTCTTTCTCTAACTCCCTTGGATGAAACAAGCATTAATACCAGGCTGACTACTAAGCATTCAGGGCCATGCTATCTTGCATTTAAGGAATGTCCTCTGATGTTAAAAATAACGCTACCATTCTCAGCACTTTCTCCTTCCAATTAGGACACAGAAGACCCTAGCTTTCATGGGAACACTGAAAAATCTGGATAGTATAAAACTAATTCTTATATATGGGATGTCAAAGAACAGTGGAAACTAGAAAGGTTTGATGAACTGATTTCCAGAGAGAGGAGCCATCCGTAAGTGACCTGTGAGACCTGGCAGGTCTGGATGCAGGGAGAGCAAAAGGCTGCTCAAGATCCAGAACTTACTGGATGGGGATAAAGCCAACTGACTTACTGGCAGTGGTGAAGATGTGTTTGGATATACTGGAGTCTGAAAGACTATCGAGTATAATAGTAATTTGCTTAACACCACAGTCCTCTCCATCCCACCCCAAATTTGCTGAGAATAACGAAGTGAAGGCAGGACTGATAAATAGAAAAAAAATCATTCATCTGCCCCATCTCCCACAGTCTCCTGATAACTGAAATTGAGAAATCCAAAAGGGTTACATGGAGTCCCCAATTGAATCCTGGTAAGAACTGGGAGACTAGCCCTTCCTTAGGAAGCCAGGGGGTGGGGGTGGGGGGTTGGGGGTTGCACTGGCCAGAGGTGAGCTGCAACCCATCCCAGTCACATGAACCCTTGCTGAAATCTGAATAATCACCTCCTCACTTTAGCCAACTGATGAGAGAAGAACTTGAAATTTCTGGAGGAAAAAACCTTGTTATTCTTCAACTCTTATTCTTTTTTTCTACATAATTTCCAGGTTGCAATAAGTTATAAAGCCTGTGAAGACACAGGAATAGGACTTACAACCCAGGAAAAACACCAACAGATGCAAATCATAGATAATCCAGACACAAGAATTAGCAGAAAAAAATTGAAAACATCTGTCTTAGTAGGGAAAGATGGGAAGACTAAATGAATGGATGGGTGATTGCTGCAGAGAAATTGAAAACAATAAGAAAAATCAGATAGAAATTTATATTAAGAAATAATAATAGCTACCATTTATTACGTTTCTCCAATGTGCAGGCACCACGCTAGATGACTTCTAAATATTTGTAGAAATAC